ACCGATTAGTGTGGCCCAGCTGCCTGGAAGCTTTTCCTTGGTTTCTCTCTCACCCTTAGAATCCTGGTGGCAATATCCCTGGTTGGAAACAGAACTTTGAAAAGTAGCCAGACAGGGATCAAGAGTTAGAGTTTCCTGATTGGTTCTTTGGCTACTGGACCCGGGGTGCTCTCTCTTAGCTCCCAATCAATATCTACTTTGAAAAGACAGTCAGGCTGATGAAAACATGGATGCTCATACTAACTCCAATAAAAATCCAGAAAAGTATACAAAATCTACTTCCTGCTAAGGTTGTGGTGGCAAGAGTATCTTTGGCAGCAGAGCCCTAAGACATTATCACTGAGAACAGTGGAAATACTATTGCCTCTCAAAACAGAGAAGAAATCAGCACCCAATCAATCAGGGGTATAAGAAAAATGGCCTCTGTGGAAAACAACTCTGACATCATGGAGCTAAGTGTTACATATGTTCAGTTTGCACATTTTCTATATCCTTTGTGTCGTGACCTCCTCTGAATCTTAAGAAATGGAAAGAGAAGAAGAAAAGGCAGAAGATCATGGCTGAGATTTCGACATCTTTCAAGACAAAAAATGCAAGGGCTGGGCCAGAGTTGCAGGACAGATGTGGCTCTGGACATCTAAGAACTAAATATGATTCTGTCCAAGGAATTCTTGTCTGTGAGACATCTTCATCGCCGGGGAGCCAAGTTTCAAAGAAGCCTGCTTTTGTTAGAAGTAAGGAGAACTGGATTTGATTTCATCTAACTTATTTTGGGCACATAGGAAACAAATGGAAATCACTCTTAGTACCCTCAGACTGTGAGAATTCTATTCTAGATAATGCTGACTGACCTAAGATGCATCCGAGTCAATCAGAAAGCATGATAAGGAAATAAATAATTAAAATGTATCGCAACAGACTTGGGAAGAGGGCAAAGAATTTCCAAAAAAAGTGCTGACAACTTCAACTTCAGCTACTTTGTGAGCAAGTTTTCTACCTGGTTTTATTTCATTTTTGTGTTATTAAATAAAAGCATTTTTATTTATAGTTCAGAGGACAATTAACCAAAGCAACTCTTCTTGACCAAATGCATGGAAAGTTTTTAAGAGAAGAGGTTTTATAAAAGCAGGCACCATCTTTGTAAAAGCAGGCACCGTCTTTGTAAGAGCAGGCACTGTTCCTTATTTCTGTGAAAAAGCACTGTTTCTAGGCAGGCAAGCAAAACCTTTCACGAGGCCAAGTGATCATCTTTTCAGCAGTCTAGAAAAAGAAAGAAACTAACAGGCCAAAAAAAACCAATGTATCCGATGGTGATCTTTGGTGGTGCGTCTTAAACTAACTATAGGAGTATACGTGATTCTAGAAGGATGTCACTTTGAAATTTGATAGTTGTAATTCCTTAATAAAACCGTATATACAAGTAGAATACAATGAACTCTATATATAGTCACGTCCAGATAGTCAAATGGGAACACTATAAATAAATTAAGATGGAATCTTAAAATGTATTCAAGTAACATAGAAAGTTACAGAAGCAGGATCAGAGGAATAAGACATAGCAGAAACAGACTGAAAACAAAGAACGAAATGGTAGACAATTAACAGGTAGCAGCTACCTTAAAACACAAATGGTATACATACCACAATTACAAGGAATGTATTGGCACAATGTTCAAAAAGCAAGTGCATACTTGTATTTCTGGCATTTAGGAGGCTGAGACAGGAGGATCATGAGTTGGAAACCAGTCTGGGCTACACAGTAACACCTTGTCTCCATAAACAAGCCAAAACATTGCCCAACCATGTACTACCTACAAGAAACTTCCCTTAATTTCTACAAGTAGGTAGACTGATAGTACTAGGAATTAAAAACTATAATACATAGTATTAGAATCTTTTGCCACCATCCCTGAATTAATAATAGCTGTGTGATGTTGGGCAAGCTCCTTAGTCTCTCTGAGCTTTAATTTTCTAATCTGAAAGACTAACTGATCTCAAATGTCTTTTTTTTTTTAACCTCATCTAAACTCTCAATGTGAGTCGATCTGATGCTTGTAAACAAGATGAGCTCATTGGACCTCCAGCTAAAAGTGCCCCTGCAAGACTCCTGTCAGTGACCTCGCATCCTCTCAGGGACTCTAGGGGCAGTGCGCATAGCAGTGCAGTCCACCCAAGCACAGCTGGAGGGCAGCAAGGGGGGGTGGCTCATCTCAACCAGTGTCCCCAAAAGCAGCAGGCAGAGGAGGAGCTGAAGGAGTGATTCGCTTTAAAACAGAGGAAAACCAAGAAACAAGCTCCTGTGTTTTTCAACACTGGCTTTGTTTGGAGGCTAGAAAACCCATGCATGTTTTTTCTAAACAGACTTCCAATGGTTACCTGAAACTACAGAGTTTTAAGAAGCGGGGCACTCATGTTGGCCCCTCGGAGAAACAAGTACTGTTGGTTGTGCTGAAAACACAGCTCTGTGGGCTAGCAAGCCATCCTAACTCTTAGGATGGACAAGAGCTCTTGGGGTTGGGAAATCCCCAGGAGATACTGGTCTCCCTGTTCTCTAACTTTAACTGTATATCTCTTTCTCTTTCTCCCTCCCTCTCTGTCTCTTCTCCCTATCTTTGTCTCTTTCTCTGTCTGTCTGTCTGTCTGTCTGTCTGTCTCTCTCTCTCTCTCTCTCTCTCTCTCTCTCTCTCTCACACACACACACACACACACACACACACACACACACACACACTTATTCTAGAATCATCCCCCTTTCAGAGAGGAACTACAGAAGAAGACAGGGTGAAACAGGTCCAGAGGCACTGAGGGTTTGGGAGAACATGTAGAACACCAGCAATGAGAGCAAGTAGCTGGGAGCCCAGTGCCCCCTTTGGTGATTATCAATAGTACCATGATGCCTCAATTCACAGTGGATCCTTATGAGCACCTGGAATCTGCCTGCTGCCTACATAGGCTGGGGATACAGAGGTGTCAGACATCATTGGAAGAGTCAGAAGTTCATTGCCTGTCTCAGGATGCCCCCATCTTCCTTGGGGAGGCTAATGTGAGACCAGTTACCCTGGGTGGGTGAAGTTAATCAGCTCTTGAGGTCCTGGATCAGCTTTCAAGGAAACCACTCATCTTAAAACAGTACTACGAGCTGACTGGGTAGGAAGTTAACTGAGTATGTACCCAAGCTCCCCTTCCTCCTTCCTCTTTCTGCCTTTTCACAGGCAACTGGCCTTAGATATAGTCCTGTATTTGTCAGGATGAACGGTTGCTCTTACCATGACCTGTAATTTACCCGTGGCCATGAGTCCCGTGGAGAACGCTGGCTGGGTCAAGCTCCACCTCAGGGGCTCAGCATCCCATTGGCTGTACCACCCGAGTTCCTGAGACAGCTCCCTCTTATACAGGTTGAATGATGAGACCCACGGAGTTTGGATAGGAAATGTGTGGCTGGCAGTGGGGTTACTTTAATCTTTTTCTTCTGTATAGTGACTGCGTTTCCAATGATTTCCTCAGTACATTCAACCCTAGCTCAGTCTTCTGTATGTTTAAAATGACAGAATAATATGCAGGATAATTTAAACTCCATTACTATTTTATGCATATCCCCATTATAGCACTTATCACATCTTGCTGTAATTTTTTGTTTACATAGCTGTCTCTTCCACTTGGCTTTGAGCTCCTCCAGGACTTAGGCTATGATTTGACTCATCTTAGATTCTGCCTCCTCCTCTGTTCACAACAGCTTAGGGCTCTGAACATAGTAGGTTTTTAAATCAATGAGTCAGCTTTGAGAGACTCAACAATCAAATATGCCTGCTATGCGTGTATACATTTATCCATAGATATTTTTACTGTAATTATTTGTTTTTGAGAAAAAAGTAAAACATTTATACATTTATTGTATATAGCCTGAAGTTCTAAAGTGTGTGTATGTATAAATGGTTAAATCAAGTCCATTAATAGAAGCATTACTTTTTATATAGATGCATATACCTTTTGTGGTAAGAATGCTTAAAGTCTTTTGGCAATTTTCTTCTTAATGATTGAGTTTATTCTTTGGCAACTTGTATATGTACATAATGTATTCTATTTACTTTTCATTCCCACCCTCCCCTGTCTCCTTCCTACTGTGGTTACTAACTCCCTCCTCCTTATGGGTCCTGTTCCCACATTCTTACCTTTTTGTTTTGATTTTAATCAGGACCATCTGTGTGGCCATGTGTGGAACTATCCATCAGAGCAGGGATTCTCAAACTTCCTGACGCTGAGACCCTTCAATAAAGTTTTTCATTTTGCGGTGACCCCAAACCATTAGATTATTTTCATTGCTACTTCATAAGTGTAATTTTTCTACTGTTATTAATTGTAATGTAAATATCTGTGTTTTTCCCATGGTCTTAGGCGACTCCTATGAAAGGGTCATTTGACCCCCAAAGTGTTAGAGGGCTGGGGTTGGCTCAAGTCTGGCTACTTCCTGCGGGCATGGGGCGATGTGGGAGAGGGGAGAGCTGGGAGTTGGTGTGCTCACACTCAGTGAGAGGTGTGGCAGGGGCAGTATCTGGGTTGCTGTCATTCTGGAGTCCTCAGGCAGCTGTTTTTTTGAAAGAGATGAGAAGGTAGGTGGTTAGAAGAAAAAAATTGTTATTATTGGCCCTATGAAATGGGGCTAGCCATAGGGATAGGTATGATAGCAATACAATAATACAATAATAATAGCAAACAGATAATACAATAGCAATATGGTAGCAGATAATATATGATAGTATGATAGCAATAGCAGATAAAACCAGATTTCAGTTGGCAGGTGTCCTTGATCCAGAAGAATAGCACTCTGTGGGTTGATCTTGGCCCAGGCACATCTTGGTGTCATTACAAAAGACTCAATGTCATGGATGAAGTAATAAGTTAACAGTACCTTAAGTTGTCAAATGCATTAGACAGATCTGGGAGGGATAAATGAGCAAAAATGAGACAGCATTTTAGCTATGCAGGCAATCCCAAATCCTCACCTTGGTCCTTGGAGAAGAATAGTCCTAGAAGCAGTGCTTGCCAGTCTACCAAACCCAAAGGCGAGGCCTGGAGGTGGAAGGTCTTCCGTCTTCTTGGAGGAGCTAAAGGGTGCTGCAGAAGCTGGCATGTCTGTGTTAGAGGCTCTTTTTGTTAAAATGCCATACCCTCAGATCTGTAAAGACATTTAAGAACTAAGTACTATTACCTCTTATTTAAACTAGGCATATAAGCTAAATTTAGGTGTGTATTTTATCCAATAAGTTATAGTTTACCAATGCTAGTAAATGTAAGAAGATTAAAAGGAATATTTTAATAATTCAAATAATCTTAAAATGAGCACACACACACACAGAAACATTTATAAAGTTACACAGACATACTGTGGCCACATTATTTTAACAGAGAGGCAAATAAAGCACTTTTGGAAACCTATGAAGGCAGGCTGCAAAAGTCAGAAAAGCATAGAGGTGATTCCATTAAGGACCAGACTAGCAGATGCTGCAAGAGAGACAGGGCAGAAACATTTTTTAAAATCCCAGAGTGAGAGAAACAGTAAACAGCTAGGAGGGAGGAAGGGGAGCAGAGTGATCCCCGAATAGTAGGCAGGGGCAGGGAAGCATAGCAAACAGCTGATGGGCTAGCGCCATTCTGAAGGGATGGGCAATGGATGGGAGCCAGGCATGCCTTTGGGAGCGGCAGAGCCCCACAGGCTATGGAGAGGCAGAAGTGGGGGTGGGACAAACCATGGGCTCAGTGGAGAAGGAGAGACAGAAAGGGAGGGCAGGAGTAAGCATCTAGAAACCCTGGGTTATGGAGAGCCTGAGACAGCCCCAATTTAAAAGGACTTTTTTTGTAAAAGGCCGCTCAAGGGCGTTTGAGTAATTGGCTTTGGAATTGTAAGGGCCCACTTTAAAAGTCTATGCCCAATGAGACTCAGGTCTGTTGTGATGCATCCACTAAACAGAGCCCGTGAGTGGAAATGGGGTGAATGGGAAGAGAGCGGGGAACAGCTCCCCACATCCAAGTGCCATCTCAGTAAAAGTCTGGCCTTTGCCATGGGTCAGACTCCCAGCACAGTCCATGGTCTCAACAAAAGCCCAAAAAGCAAATGGGTCACCCCGGGACCCTATCGGCCTAGAGCAAAAGAAGAGGAACTCAGCAAGTCCAAAGCCAAATCTGGTGGAGAGCATGGGGGATGGGTGTTTTCTAGCGTGGCAGCACTGTGCATCTCGGTGGAACCTCCAGTATGTTAGGAATATTTCCTAACGGAGCCTTTCCGCTGACACAAAAAAACTCCAATCAAACCAGATTAGACTGAATCAAAAATGTAAAAATGGCCACGCTTAATCTTGGGTGGTCAGGAGCATGGCAGGGGGAAGACAGAGGGAGAGCACTTGTAAAACCCCAATCCACGAGTTCCTTTTTCTGGTACAAGCCTAAAATACCCTGTGGGAGTGGTCCTGACCCTCCTCCCCGGGGGAGGGGTCAACACTTGTCAGTCTGGGAACTGGAGTCCAAGTGCTTGGCAATTCCCAGGCCAGGGGCTGGGGTGACACTTCCAACTCAATCTTACAATGATGGTTAGTTGTTGGTGGCGCACGCCTTTAATCCTAACACTCGGGAGGCAGAGGCAGGTGGATCTCTGAGTTTGAGGCCAGCCTGGTCTACAAAGCAAGTTCCAGGACAGCCAGAGCTACACAGAGAAATCCATGAGAGAGAGAGAGAGAGAGAGAGAGAGACAGAGACAGAGAGAAAAAGAGAGAGAGAAGTAAACCTGGGAAGGGGGACACTGAAAGAGTTGTAGGTGGAGGGGCAAGAGTGAGGTGTAGTGCTCATATATGAAGTTCTGGGAAAAATTATTAAAAAAACAAAAACAGAGAAAGGAACATCCACAACCTAGTCAATTCCTGGCAAAGGGTACTTGCTTGCTAGGTAGTTGTTCAATACCAATATGAATTTAAGTTAAAAACTCATACCCCTGTCTCCTAAGAGTGCAGAGCTACAAGGGAAGTGCTTTGTGAATGGAGTTGTCTGTGCAGTGTTTAAAGCACGAAACGTGTGTGTATGTGTATCTTTATTATTTCTTCTTAAAAATTAATTCCTGCCAGCTTTTAAATAATAAATTTTAATTATTCCCTTTCTCCTCTATATAAAAGTCAGCCTTTAATTCTTGAAGAAAGGAAGATTGCAGGCATAGACAGAACTAGGCCTGTGTTAGTTCGAAATTGGTAGCTAAGAAGTGGTCACATTTATTGCTTGTTAAAGTATACCTGGGCATTAGTTACCAAAGCCCTTGCCCAGCATGCACAAGACGCTGGGTTTGATCCCTAACATTGAAAATAAGTTAGGTGTGGTGGCCGGTAATCCCAGCACTTGGGAAGTAGAGGTAGATGAATCAGAAATCCAGATGTTTAAGGTCAGCCTGGGAGATGGGTCAGTTAGTAAAGTGCTTACTGGAAAAATACAAGAACCTGAGATCAATCCCTAGAATCCACATATAAATGTTAGGCATGGTTTTACATGCCTGGGACCCTAGAACTGGCATATGGACGTTAGGTGACCCAGGGCAAAGGCTCCCTGAGGTGCCTATTGATATATCTGATGCTGGCCACCTGGTCCTCCCAATATCCCTCAGTCCCTACTTGTTACAGGGTCCTACTGGCTGCCATATCTTTCCCCCTACCATAAGCTTCTCCAGCCCAGGGACCAGACTGGAACCCTTCCCCCAGCAGCTCTTCCTTATATAACCTCAGCCATTTGACTACCAGTTCTCTTGGCCTCTTTGCCGCTTGGCAGCCTCTCGGCTTCTGATCTCCTGCCTCTTCGTGCCTGGCTGCCTCCTCTCTTCTCTGCCCTCTTCTCTCCGGGCCCAGTTCATTTGCCAAGCACGCTCATCCTGGACTCTCCCAAACGCCTCTGCTTCTGCCTGTACTCTCCCTTATACCTGTAATAAAAACCCCAGCCCCTTAGGGGCCGTCATGTCCTCCTTTTATTTCTTTTTCTTTTTCTTTTTTCCATTCAGTAAGGACAAGAGGACTCTGGGGTTCACTGAGCACCCAGCCTAACCTACCAGATGAATTCCAGGCTAGTGAGAGACCTTGACTCAAAGGAGGCAGGTGTGTTTCTAAAGGATGACATTTAAAACTGTCCTCTGGTCTCCAACACCCATGTGTACAAACAGAAATACACCTGTGCACCCAAGTGTGCCTTCGCCACACACACACACCAAACATTAAAATGTTCACCGTTATCCTTAGGTACATAAAGAGTCCCAGACCAACCAACAACAGCAAAAAAGTAGCAAAACTCTACCCGATATCACACCTTTGGGACAGATATCTGAGTGTGCCATGAAAGCAGATCTGGTCATCATCTAGGAATATTACATTGTAGTGCAGACGTGGTTATGATCTAGATTCCCTTTTGGCGACAGTTTTGAGCCCAGTTTTATTAGAAAATGCAAAAACGCAATTTAGAAGCTACATAGTTTTTACCTACATATATCACATATTTTTATTTATTTCAATGCTGACAATTAGTTGGACCCTCAAAACAAATATGAAATACAATACAAACACATTTAAATGCACCAACATTAATGAGGGAACCCCTTGACAAATGTTTAGCAGTGAGAGACGCCCATCTCTGGCTCTGAACGTGCACCAGAGATTTAAGTTTTTATCTTCTCTGCCTTCCCATCTTTGCCTTAATCTTCACTCACCCCTGGTCTTCCACTGGAAACTGAGAGACTTTTCTGATAAGATAAATACATAAGAGGCACTTAGGGGAGAGGAAGCAATGGAAAGGGAGCCAGCAGGTATGCAGAGCAAAGGTTTCTCTGTGCTCTAGAGATTCACTAGTGACGGGCATGGGCCTACTCTACCTCCTCACCGCTTGCCCAGCACATCCTTTTAGCATTAACGTCATTACAGCATTTAAAGTGCTCAGAGAACTGGCATGCCTACAACACTCAGAGCCATGCCGACAGGAGAGGGAGATGTCATTGGTACTTGGCAGTTTTAGCCTAGGCCATGGAATTTTGCAGAGCGCTGTCCCCATGTCCTGGATTGCTCTCTCCAGAGTGAAGGGTTTCTGTTTTAAATGTTCAGGCCTTACCCAGACTTATGGGGGGGGGAGGGTGTGGGGGGAGTCCCAACTCTCCAAGTGATGGTTTTAGTAAGAAGTGCAGGCTATAGGCAAGTCCTGAGGACATAAAGACAGAGCCCTCCCAGATAGTATTCTAACCCCAACAATGTCCACAGACCTGCTTTGCCACTTTCCCATGAGAGGCCATGGTGAGAGGATTATATGGGTTAACCAGAGAATAAACCTGGACCAGACACTGAACCTGCCTGTGCTTTGGTCTTGTAATGCTCTCCTCTAAAAACAGGAGATATAAATTTGTTTATAAGCCTACAACTTTGTCATACGTCATTACAGCATTTCCAACAGACTAAGAAATGGCTACCCTGCAGACATGCTGGCTCAGGACCATTCTCCCCTTGCCTTTGAGTCCTAATGTTTGGTCTAGTTGACTTTTCATAGATAGATTAGTTCTGGGTTTCTTTGAGTTCCCAAAGCTCCTGGAAGTTCTTTTTCTCAGTTCTTGTAAACCCTGGTGATGTCATCAGTAGCATCAACTGCAGACTTCCCTAGTGGCGCCAGGGACATTTCGCAAGGAATTTGTTCAACCCTCAAGTCAGTTGCCCAGGGAAACAAACTGGTGATGTCACAAGGCTTGCCACTTGCTGTTCTCCTTCAGGTCCCTTCTGCACTGGCTGAGGTAGGGTCCTGTCTATTGCTCTCCCAACCCAATTGTGTCTTGTATTCCCCAGGGCAGTGCAGAAGCCCTTGCTTTTCCCCTCAGCCAGGTCTATACTCGCTCAGTTCTGCTGGCCACAGCTATCTCCCTATGCTTCTTCCCTCTGGGCACATAAATGCTATGCAAATGGAATGTCTAGACAACTTTTGTTCTCTAGTATAAGGGTGGGGAGATTGAGACTCCCTCCCTTGAGGCTGTCCCTAAGGAATCAAAAAAAGGCTATTTCAAGCTTGATATTCAAGTTTGATAATACCTCAGAAGTTTCACAAGTAGAAGGACCTCACCTGATTCCCTTATCTTTCTTTGGGTCATAAACACACCCAAGTCTCTAAGTCTCTACTTCCTGATTTTAGAGACGCGCTCCCCTTCTTTACCGGGACACCATTACAACCTTTGACTTTTCTGAGAAAATGAAAAGGAAGAACAGAGGCCTGGAGGTTTACAGAGACGTCGTTTTTAAGAGGTCATTTAGCAGGCGATGCCCTATTCCAAGTGCAACTCTTCTTTGTTGCTCGTCTCAAAGCTGTTTTGAAATATGTGCAAATTGTCAGGTTATCTAACTGCGGCTAACTATGCGAAAGATTTCCTCCCAAGGTTATAAGAAAAGGTGCCTAAGAGAGAGGCACAATCCAGCCTGTGTTGAAACTCACTCCCAGAGGACTTTGTTTCTACAGCTCTCCAGCCTGAGCAGAGAGCAGCAGTGGCTCCCAGGACTCAGAGGCAAAAGCAGAGAGCTAGCACACAGCTTCCAAAGCCATGACGAAGACAACCACTTGCATCTATCATTTCCTTGTTTTGAACTGGTACGTCTTTCTCAATTGCTACATCCCAAATATTGGAAAGGATAATGAGAAGTTAAAGGAACTCCATGATGGCGGACGGTGGAAGTACTTGACACTCCTTAATCTGGTAAGTCTGTGTGTCTGTATCTGCAACCAAGTTTTCCCACGTACTGTTTTTATGAAACACAAGTCCCCTATATGTCTTCCTTCTTCATGGTTGGTGAGTTTGGGGCTTCCCCTGTTATTTAGCAATTTGCTCTGGGGCACTCAGTCTGGAAACGCTCCATAGCTACCGGGGTGTCTAATTGTAAAATGCTCTCTCGCAAAATCTCTTGGAGTCCAACTGGGGGAACACAGGCTTGAGTACAACACACAGGCGAGATCTTGAGCCCTGCCTGGGACTCTGAAAAGAAGGCAGAGCTGTCACATGTTGTGTAGGAAGTGTGACTTCCACTGGAGGAATAATGTCCTTTGACAGCACACAGCGACTCACAGATTTATCTAAGAAAAGCAAGCGCATTTGCCACCTTCCTCTCCCACTACAATTTTTTATAGGCTCAAGTTCTATCTGAAAGGAGAGAGATCACCCGAGCCAACAACCGATACACAATTTCAACTGTTTTAAAACCAAACTTTGAGCTTAATCCCTTCTTGCCTTAGCCTTAACCTGACTGGCCACATGCTACTGAGAAAAGTCTGAATGACTGGAAGAAAAACTGCCTTGTAAGAAGGATTTTAGGGGAAATAGTATATTTTTAACACACACACATATATGTTAAAAGATAAAATTGGAACATCTTTCAGACATGGGAATTGACATTTAAGTCTTTGTCACTGGTGCTAAAATACACAGTTCCATAAAGGCACCTGGTTTCAGGGAGCTGGAAATAATATTCTTGTTTTTAAGATTTATTTTTTGTTTTATGAGTGTTTTTACATGCCTTGCCGACACGTATGCATACATGCTGCACATATTTCTGGTGCTTGTGGAGACCAGAAGAGGGCATCAGATGCTCCGGAGCTAGAGCCACAGATGGTTGTGAGCTGCCCTGTGGGTGCTGGGACCTGATCCGGGGTTCCCCAGGACGGCAGCAGGTATCCTGAACTGAGGAGCCGTCCCTGCAGTGCATCCTGCAATCGGAATATGCTCATCCTTCGGAATCACAATCCTCATTCTGTAATCAGGGCAAAGAGTGGCAGGAAGAGGGACTGGAATGTTGAGTAGGCAGAAATGGTGAGTTCGGGTTGCAGAGGCGTGTCTTTGAGGCACTGGCCCCTTGCTTCTGGTCTTGTGTTCACCTTTTGGTGACATATTAGCCTGAGTATTTTGAGTTCTGGGCACAGCTCTCTAGCGCCAGAAGGCGTCAGGTTGGCTGTTTGTTTCAGTCCTGAGATTTTACGAGGAAATAAGTCGAATAGTGAAAAAAAGAAAAGAGAAACTGGTTTATAGACCTCTCAGAGCACTAGTGTCAAAGACTGAGGTTAGTAACTCTGTTGGGTCACCTGGGGCTGTCTGTCTATCCATGTGTAATTACTAAACTCAGGCCCCAGTATGGCCATCCTACTGCCCAGAATCACAGAGCAGTGGGACAGACTTTGCACAGAGGTCCATAAGCCACCTCCCTGACTTCTTTTGCCTTTTAATGCAATCCCCCTCACACACCTCATTTTCTGCTACTAGCCTATCCTACTTAGATGTTGTTTAGAAATTATAACATTTTTGTTTATTTTGTGTGCATGGATGTGTGTAGGTGTTGGGGTCCTGTGTACCACAATGTAGAGGTCCAGGCGCAACTTTCAGGAGACAGCTCTCTACTCTGACCGTTTAGGTGCTTAGGATTGAACTCAGGTGGGCATGCTGGGCAGAAAGTATCTTAAAGAGAATCTCACAAGCCCAAATCATCTCAGAATTTAATCTCATTTTCTGCCTTCCTGTCGAATTAGCCACCAAATCAAATTCCATTGGTTTTCCTTTTTGTTGGACCCGCCTTCCTCTCCCCCACATTCCTGCCTTACTCCACGTCCTCATTCCAGACTCACTAATTGGCATTGGAGGACCACATTAGCCCTGTATTGTCCTTTGCTCCTCCAATGTGCAGGTTCCAGACTGATCTCCCTAAGCTCTTTTTTTTTTTTATTTTTCATGAATTCCTTTTAACATGGTGGCCTTTTTTGAAATAAACAACCCCCCCCAAAAAAACAAAA